ATCTGTATTGGATATACCATTTCATATTTCACATGTAGGGGCGAGTTTTATGCTAGCCAACAATTGTATATTTAATCTAAAGGATTTGTGTTATATAAAAAACATTTTTTTAAAAGCCAAAAACAATAATCTCGACGTGGTTTTATAGACAACTTTGAGCATAGTACTGAAGCTATGGAAATTGGTAGTATAGATCACAGTAATACAAATGCAAATGAAAACGGTAAGATTGTTATCTTAATTTTGTTCATAAATAAATGTCGATGAATAATACAACTTTTTAACTAAAATGATATTTATTAAATTTAAGATAAAATGTTTATGTTATTTAGGATTTGTTTACATGAATGATACTGATTTACAATTTTTTGATTAATTTTGTTTGATGCCGTTAGAGTGCGTGGTTGCGAGTACGCGGTAATATTCAAATATCTATTTGAATTATTGAAATATTTTTTGATGATTTTATTGCTAAATTTTTATATGAAGACTTATTTTCTTATTTATCTTTAACCGAAATTTATTAAAACGTTACTTTTCCTTCTTAATTAAGTGAAATATTGATAATATTGAAATAGTATAAAACCAGACATAATTTTATTAAAAAATATTTATTTGTAAGAGTAAAATTGATGAATTATTAAAATAATTTTTTTTCTTGGTATTTAATACACTTAGTCAGTACCCTTTTTTGAGACTATAATTTATTATTTTGAAATTTTATCTAATTTTTTGTTGCAATTATGATTTATTTAAAATTGTACGTTTTAGAAAATGAGGCACTAATAAACACCAATACCCTTCTTCTAAGTCAAAAATCAAAATCTACCGTTTCTATCGTTAGTCAATTCTCTCATATCTCTGATTTTGAAGACGAAATGAAAATGACATCAAAACCGAAATCACTTTAAATTAATATCATGACACCGCAACTTGCAGCTACCCTTGATCGTGGAAAGTCAGCAGCAGAAATGCCGTATTTATTGTAGCTGATACTCTCAGTAGTGCTAACGTTGAATCAAGGGCTGTAATTTGAGTCATTTGACAATTCATCGAGCTCGCAAAAAGTTTCGAAAAGATATGGCTGAGAAATTAAAAGATGGACTCAAAAACCAGGATAATTTTGTGTTACATTGGGACGGCAAAATATTAACTGATCTTGTTGGTACAGAAAAAGTTGATAGATTATCAATTATAATATCTTCATCAGGCAGTAAACAATTATTGGGTGTACCCAAAATAATGTCTGGAACTGCAAAAAATCAGGCTGATGCTATTTTGAAAATTCTATACGATTGGGATTTAAGTCGTAATATAAAAGCACTGTTTTTGATACGGCGGCTGTTAATACTGTTGTCTTCTTAAAAACTCTATCATGATATAATATCAAATTAATATTATATTATTTGAAATGGTTATTATCAAACAAATTCATTTAATTATGTCCAATTTCATGTTATATTATCTAGGAATCCTGAGTCTGATCGAAGACGAGTTGGAGAAAAAGTTGGTGTATCTACCATGCAGACATCATGTATTTGAAATAATATTAAAAGGAGTGTTTGAAATCTTTGGACAACTTCATTAGGCCCAAATGTACTAATTTTTTACGGTTAAAAAATAAATGGAGTAATTTCAACACGTCAAATTATACTACAGGAATTTCGGATCCAATTATACTCTTTGCTCTTGAAGATGTGAAAGAAGAAATAGTAACGTTTATTACAAATCATTTACAAGTAAGGTTATAATATATTTAAATGTCTTTAGAAATCGTGTTCAAGTGTATATTTGAAATTATACTTTTTTCGTTTTTAAATCCGGAAAATATTTCTGTAAAAGTTTACATTTTAAATAATTTCGATTAATATATAAAATGAAATTTTATGAACTAATTTTCTAGGTATCGCAACCAAGAGATTAATAAATTATTAGATTAGATTATTAAGCGTACAATTTTAAATAAATCATAATTGCAACAAAAAATTAGATAAAATTTCAAAATAATTTTTTTTCTTGGTATTTAATACACTTAGTCAATAGGCTTTTTTGAGACTATAATTTATTATTTTGAAATTTTATCTAATTTTTTGTTGCAATTATGATTTATTTAAAATTGTACGTTTTAGAAAATGAGGCACTAATAAACACCAATACCCTTCTTCTAAGTCAAAAATCAAAATCTACCGTTTCTATCGTTAGTCAATTCTCTGATATCTCTGATTTTGAAGACGAAATGAAAATGACATCAAAACCGAAATCACTTTAAATTAATATCATGACACCGCAACTTGCAGCTACCCTTGATCGTGGAAAGTCAGCAGCAGAAATGCCGTATTTATTGTAGCTGATACTCTCAGTAGTGCTAACGTTGAATCAAGGGCTGTAATTTGAGTCATTTGACAATTCATCGAGCTCGCAAAAAGTTTCGAAAAGATATGGCTGAGAAATTAAAAGATGGACTCAAAAACCAGGATAATTTTGTGTTACATTGGGACGGCAAAATATTAACTGATCTTGTTGGTACAGAAAAAGTTGATAGATTATCAATTATAATATCTTCATCAGGCAGTAAACAATTATTGGGTTTACCCAAAATAATGTCTGGAACTGCAAAAAATCATGCTGATGCTATTTTGAAAATTCTATACGATTGGGATTTAAGTCGTAATATAAAAGCACTGTTTTTGATACGGCGGCTGTTAATACTGTTGTCTTCTTAAAAACTCTATCATGATATAATATCAAATTAATATTATATTATTTGAACTGGTTATTATCAAACAAATTCATTTAATTATGTCCAATTTCATGTTATATTATCTAGGAATCCTGAGTCTGATCGAAGACGAGTTGGAGAAGAAGTTGGTGTATCTACCATGCAGACATCATGTATTTGAAATAATATTAAAAGGAGTGTTTGAAATCTTTGGACAACTTCATTAGGCCCAAATGTACTAATTTTTTACGGTTAAAAAATAAATGGAGTAATTTCAACACGTCAAATTATACTACAGGAATTTCAGATCCAATTATACTCTTTGCTCTTGAAGATGTGAAAGAAGAAATAGTAACGTTTATTACAAATCATTTACAAGTAAGGTTATAATATATTTAAATGTCTTTAGAAATCGTGTTCAAGTGTATATTTGAAATTATACTTTTTTCGTTTTTAAATCCGGAAAATATTTCTGTAAAAGTTTACATTTTAAATAATTTCTATTAATATATAAAATGAAATTTTATGAACTAATTTTCTAGGTATTGCAACCAAGAGATTAATACTACGAACTCCTGGAGCTATCATTACTTTTCTTAAATACTACTTCAACTGCAGAAATTTCTTTTAAACAACCTGGTGCTATGCACCACGCACGTTGGATGGCAAAAGCAATCTACTCATTAAAAATATTCATGTCCCGCTACCAATTTAACCTTAACACTAGAGAAATAACAGGAATACGACAAATTTGCATATTTGTTTTAAGATTTTATATACAAGCGTGGTTTAAAGCTTCATCTGGCATATTAACACCGAAGGCAGATTTAACTTTAATAAAAAATATATTGCTATACAGCCAAAACAATCGTTCTTTCGCTAAAATTGCTGCTGACAAAATGTCCGATCACTTATAGTATCTGTCTGAGGAATTAGTTGTTTTGGCCTTATTCGATGTGAATGTTTCAGTGGATATAAAAAGAAAAATGGTTATCAATATTAAAACTTCGAAAGGTAATCCAAAAAATTGTAAGCGACTTGTGATAAAAGAAAATGTGAAGTCACTATTAACAAGTGATTTTGTCTCAGAACATTTTTTGTTTTTGTTAAAAAAATTCAATTTATCGTATGATTTTCTAGAAAATGACGTTTCATTATGGGCAGTTAATGAGAGTTACCAGAAAGCTACCTTGTTTTGAAGTCAAGTCCGAGTAATAAATGATACAGCAGAACGTGGTTTATACTTTGTATTAAAGAATAACCGAGTATAATCAAAGTTTGACTAAAAATGAAGAAGATTTTCAGTATTTATTACAAATTGTAAAAAAACAGAAATGTATCCTAATTGTAATAAAACAGCGTTAATGTAACAGTATCAATCAACAATTTTCAATTTGTACAATTTTCTAGAATAAAATAAATACTTTGTTGTTAAAACATTTTTTTGTTTTTTTTACACTTCCTATGTCTCAGATATAAATTTGTGATTTTTTACTACATGAAAAGTTGAAAAAAGGCAAAAATTCAATGGAAATCAAACTTTGTCCTCGAATAACTTTGGGAAGAATCAATTTATAGAAAAATGATAAGAGACCTTTTTTATAGAGCGTTAAATTTACTATGAAAATATAAAATGATCCTTTCCAAGTTTGATTGATTTTATACAGACGTATAAATTTCCAAAGTTAAAAAAAATCCTATGTTATTTAAATGGGAAATAGAAAATTGCGATCCGCGACCTCTAAATCTTCAAATTAAGAGCTCAAATTTTGACGAGGTTGTTTTGACATCCTCTGAAAGAATTTGCTGACCATTGAAGAAAAAAAAGTCGATTTGTATTTTTGTATATATATACCACCAACACTGACAGACAGCCTGTTTCGACCTGTTGGGTCTCATCAGTGTCAGGCAGTCGGTGACGGGAGACACGCATCAAGTTCGGCACTGTTAACTTATAAAGAAATAAGTGACCAGGACAGCGGCGAGATGTATCGGCAAGTCAGTGTGGAGACATCTACCGTCTAAAGATGTGGCCTCGCTGTGCGGCGTGCAATCACAATGCACTTAGACACACACAGTTGTAGGTTTTATCAAACCGTACGCTGCCCAAAAGAGTCGAACTAGCTTTGACCAGCTATGCGGCAATATTTCAGAAACAATAGGTTTTCTACTTTACGCCAAACACTACTACTACACCACCGAGGGCGGTTTCACATAATAAAAAATATGCTTCTGCTAACAAAACCTTTGAACAAATTGTATTTATAATTCTAAATTTTAGGGATGGAAGCTTTGGAAACTTGCATAAGCTACTGGGAGGATGCTTTAGCAGCATATCGTGTAAGAGATGGTATTGGGCTCCCTGCCATGTTGGGTCCTGAGGAAGCGGGTTTTTGTAAGGATTTGCAGCAGTTACTCGAATATGCAATTGAATTGCAAGAAAATTCCGAAATGCTGTTTCTTGATGAACGATCTGTTTTGTTTCGTCGCGAAGGATGGAGAAATGATGGACTTGATGCTGATATGTCAGGCGGAGAAAGTTTTGCTTCTGCTCAAGATCAGGTAAGGGTCCAATTATTTTTAGCAATATAGCGTCTACCAGAAATACTGGAGTATATTATGTTTTAACATTTCCGATGTATTAATTAGACAAAATATAAACCGAATTTAACTTTAAATGTTTGTAAATTTTTTCTTAAACTAAAAATGTATGTTACTATCATTTCTGCATCTTTTTATTCTGCTATCATTTCTGCGTCGATTTATATCAAATTTTTTAAACCATCATTGCTGCAACAGAAGTGAATACCGTCTTTTCTGCATCACCATATTGTCAGATTTTGTCGGCGCATTATTTATGCTCTTTTGTATTATAATCTGAATATTAAATTTATTCCAAAAGAAATAATACCCAATACTTTCGTAGTGCGTCGTGACTTGTTTTTAGCGCAGGCATAATAAAAGTTCTTTAAAATTTTAATAATATATTTTTATTTATAATTTGTTGTCATTTAAAAGTTATTAAATTATAATATAACGAATAACGAATTTGATAATCCGGCAAGTTATCGGATGCAAGTGATCAAAATCAGTAAAACGGAAAACATTAAAATAAACAAAAAATATATACAATAATAAGTTCGAAAAGTGCGGGTGGCCCCCGGTTTAAATCACAAAGTGATATAACATCGCAAAAATTTGTGTGAGAGTGAGTGATTAAGGTTAGGTCACATCAAAAAGCCACCTGGGTTCTCGACTACCTGGTCGGTCACCACAATAGTCCATCACGGACTGTCCGCTAGGGACAGGGAAATAGAAATTCTATAGAATTTCAAGCCTAATTAGTACCAATTCGATTCTAATCAATAAGCGAATCTTTAAAAACATATATACGCTAACTGGCTTCAGAAAACAAACAGGTCCCTACACTGAGAAAAGTAAACTCTATTTTAAGATTTAATTAGTAACTGAACAGTTTCAATACGAACAATGTGCAAAATTGTTTTATTTAAAAGTCCCGATGTTACTTACAGTTTTTTACATTAAACTCGTAAAATTTGTACACATTTTTATTACTACAAAAATTGTACGTGTACGTGTAAGATTTCAATTAATGCAGTTCAGACATTAATTTAATGAATAAAATCTTTGATATTAGCACTCTTGTACAACAAACTCTGATTGTTTATTTATGTCTTTTTATTTGTTTTAAAAAAAGAAAAAATAATTTTAATCAACAAAAATAAGAATAATGTAGCGAGTACGGCTCTGGATCTCGGAATGATGACTCATCGCCGGTGAGTCAGCGCTCGAGCTGGAATATTCGGGAACGTAGGCACTGAATATATAATAACAGCGCAGCATGGAGCAGTGAGTCAAGCTTTGGTACTCGCGATAAAATAAATAAATATACGTGCAAATAAATAGACTCTTGTACAGTGGTGATATATAAATATTTAGTAGTTAAGTGTTTAGTTACTTTTATAGTTCCTTAGTGTTTTAAGTGTAGTTAAGTTATTAAATAAATAGTTTAGATTATCCATAGTGGTTTTGTCCTTTTAACAAATTTTTTGAGGTTAGGTTTGTGGGTATTAGGACAGGAAAATTAAAACTTATTTTAAATTCGCCGACGTTTCGAGGGCATTTACTGCTCTCTTCCTCAGGGCTAAAAAACAACAATGACACAATTACTTTTATAACTAAATACTTCTAAAAACAATTTTCGTAAAAACTTTGAGGAACACCGGACTAACCTAGTTCAAAAAATGTATTGACAGCTCAGTCATATCTTCAAACATATATACCGCAAAACGGCATGTACTCCAATAAAATAATCTAATACAATAAGAAACCTTCTGATAGAATGACATTACAATAACAAATTTATTTATAATTTATTATGTATATGCTTTGGCCATTGTTTGAAGGTAAATTTATATAGTATTAGTAGTAGTGTTTTGCAGCGTAGGCATATCTTCATAAAATTTCCAATTAAGTAGTTCAAATGTACCGTTATCATTTGTTATTGTAATGTCATTCTATCAGAAGGTTTCTTATTGTATTAGATTATTTTATTGGAGTACATGCCGTTTTGCGGTATATATGTTTGACGATATGACTGAGCTGTCAATACATTTTTTGAACTAGGTGAGTCCGGTGTTCTTCAAAGTTTTTACGAAAATTGTTTTTAGAAGTATTTAGTTATAAAAGTAATTGTGTCATTGTTGTTTTTTAGCCCTGAGGAAGAGAGCAGTAAATGCCCTCGAAACGTCGGCGAATTTAAAATAAGTTTTAATTTTCCTGTCCTAATACCCACAAACCTAACCTCAAAAAATAAATAGTTTAGTTCGTTAATAGACCAGTGCGTGTTTTAATTCACACTACGAACAGTTAAAACGTAACAATTGGTGTCAGGAGTGGGGTTAGTGTGAAACTTCGCGAAAATGGTTTCGTTAATGGACTTAAAAGTGGCAGACCTTAAGCGGGAGCTGGAAGAAAGGGAATGTGAGACAACTGGAAAAAAGAATGTGTTGCAGCAGCGGCTTCGAGAAGCATTGGAGCAGGAAGGTGAAAATCCAGATACGTATTTATTTGAAGGCCCGTGTGATATGCATTTAATGTTGCAAAATTTAAACGAAAAAATGTTGAAGAATTCTAACGATTTAAAACAGAACATTCTAAAAAATTCTAACGAGTTTCAACAGAAAATTCTAGAACATTCTAATAATTTGAAAGTTGATTTACAACAGAAAATGCTGGAAAATTCTAGAGAATTGCAGCAGAAAATTCTGGAAAATTCTAAAAATTTAAAAGAATATTTGGAACCGAAGATTCTAGATAATGTCAATGAATTGGAAGAGAAAATGGGGCAGAAATTTGACGACGTAAGGATGGAATTGAATGACGTAATAAGAAATAAATAGTAAATTAACAGCTGTTAATTTAGCCATGATGCTGGCGGAACAAGGAGCAGTACCGGAGGGGAGCCGAGTTCGGATGAAACCACCTCAGTTCGATGGGAAAACTTATTGGACAAGTTACATCCGTCAGTTTGAGGCAGCAGCAAAAGCAAATGGCTGGCTACCAGAAGAAAAAGCTACAGCATTGACTCTTGCTTTACGCGAAGATGCAACCGACATCTTGCAGACACTTTCTCCCAACGAACAAGAAGATTACGAAGCGTTGGTGAAACATATAGAACTGCAATATGGCCAGACACATCTGAAACATGTGTACCATTCCCAACTGAAGAATCGCTGCCAGAAATCTAACGAGACTTTGCAAGAATTCGAGGCTGATATTGCACGCTTTGTTCGGCTAGCATATCCAGCTACTCCAACGACCGTTATGGAACGATTAGCGGTTCAAGCCTTTTTGGATGGACTTCGGGATAACGAAACAAGTCAGGCTCTAACACAGGCTCGTCCGAGCCAATTGGTTGATGCATTGGCTCGAGCTTTGGAATTCGAGCCGGCAAAGCAGAGCTGCAGGAGCCAGCCTAGAATAAGGAGAGTCGAAGAAGAAAAGGAGGAGGAACCTAGTATAATTGAAGCAATCAGACGAGTTCTTAAAGAGAATCTACCAGAGAAGAAGAAAATCCGGTGTTGGAGATGTGGAAAGCTAGAACACATACGAAGTCGTTGTAGAGGAAGCCAGGCGGAGCCAACTTCGTCTCAGTCGGAAAACTAGGTAGGGTCGAGGAAAAGGGGACACCTTAGACCTGTAACCAGCATGCCCCAGAAGATATTGAACGTGTCGCATCTATTCTACACCAGTCCAACAGTGTTTTTGTGGATGGCTTTATTAATGGAAAGACAATTATTAGGCCAGATATTGTCGAAAAGTCAAAAATAAAATCTACCAATCGGCGACTACGTACCGCAACAGGAGATACTGCTACTGTTCGTGGAGAAGTGGAGATCACGATGGTCATAGGAAACACGGAATTTAAACATCGAGCATTAGTAGCAGATATTGAAGATGAAGTTATTGTAGGCATGGACATTATGAACTCTATAGGATTTGAACTGAACTTTAAGCAAGGAATTTTGAGGGTAAATGGAGAGGAAGTCGTGTTCCATCGATCTAAAGAGAAGAATATTCGTGTAATGATTTGATACTGGAACACAGCGAGATGATATTGAAGGCTTTCTTGGATTGTGAATCAGAAGATGGAAGTATAATGCTTCTGGAGCCGAGAATTGATGACAAAGAGGTCGGTCGAGGAATTGTAGTAGGGAAGACTTTAATACGCGTCCGAAAAGAAGTGCCTGTAAGAGTATTGAATGTTAATTGTTACTCTGTGAACTTGAAGAAAGGAATCTTTTTGGGAAACTGTTCTTCAGTTTCCTCGATTATTAGAGGCATTCGTGAGTCTGCAGTCCCGGCCAAGAAAGTTAGCAATGAATTGACGAATCTTCTGTCGACTTCAAAGGATTTGAAACCCAATGAAAGGATAAAGCTAAGAGAGCTGATACACAATTATCAGGATGTCTTTGACGAAGGACAAGGAAAGAAGGGTAGGACAAGAACCCATTCGACAGTCGGCAAGAAGGCTACCTATTGCCAAGTGAGAGGAAGCTGATAAAATACTGCAAGAAATGGAGAAGGAAGGGGTGATCGAGCCATCTAACAGCCCATGCTCTTCCCCAGTGGTGTTAGTTAAGAAAAAGGATGGATCAACTCGATTTTGCGTCGATTTTCGTCAGCTGAACAACGTGACGAAGAAGGAAAGCTACCTTCTGCCTAGGATCGATGACACCCTGGATACATTGGCTGAATCACGGATATTTTCGACTTTGAATTTGAAAAGCGGATACTGGCAGGTTGAAATGGCACCATAAGATAGAGAAAAGACGGCGTTTACCGTGGGTGCTGTGGCTGTGGCAGTTTACTGTCATGCCGTTTGGACTATGCAACTTTTGAAAGGCTCATGGAAATGGTTTTGAAGGGACTATCCTGGAAGATATGCTTGATGTACCTTGACGACATCATTGTGGTTGGGAAATCATTTGAGGACCATATG